TGAGACTCCTTTCATGAGTGCCCTCTTACTGAACCTAATGCATTTTCGTTCATGTTATATATATATATATATATATATATATATATATATATATATATATATATATGTAGGTCTTTGGTTGTTCGGGTTTTCTCCCGCGTAAAATTGGAAGTGTCTTGGCGACGTTTCGACGAAGTCCCATTCGTCATATTCAGGCTGGTGTTTTCAGCTTCGTGCTTTGCTGCTCGAAGCACGAAGCTGAAAACACCAGCCTGAAGATGACGAATGGGACTTCGTCGAAACGTCGCCAAGACACTTCCAATTTTACGCGGGAGAAAACCCGAACAACCAAAGACCTACATACAAACACCCGCGAAAACCTCAGAAAATATATATATATATATATATATATATATATAGAAACAATACTTTCTTGTAAGCAGATATTTTCTTTATATTTCCTGTCCTTTACTCCATAAATGTATTAGAAGCTGAGCCAGCAAGCACAAGAAATTCTATCAAGATGTTAGTATGTCTCTTTGCTTCTACACACTTCATATCAACATTTTTATTTCTTTTGGAAGGGTTAAATCAGGATGTTATTTCAAATGTAAAAGAAACAAGAGGCCTGTTACTGGAAATGCCAAGTACAATACAAGAAACATCTTGTTGCTCTATGGGCAAATAGATGGATCGTGACATTACCTGTCTATTTTTTCGATAGTACAGAGTACCAGTTACTCATTCAGGTTTTAATCAATATATTAAATTTAATCAATCTAGAGAAATTAAAATCTAAGAATTTCTTGTGTATTTTGTACACCCAAAATGACCACTCCCTACACTGAGCACTCTAAGAATCAAGGCAAGTAGAGTGAGTCTATAAAGACTAGTAACAATTACATCCTTAGAAAATAATTTATGCAGTTTTTCAAATTGCAACAGCTGGGCTCTGCATGCTAAAATTACAGAAATTGTATCTTAAAATGTTTATTTAAGGGTTACTTTAATCATTTTTTTCTTACATCAAACCTGCTATGCTATAAAAGGAAATATTGAAAAAGACTGAGGTTTGCTTTACAAAATGGCCTGATGCTTTAGTCTTATTTGAAAATAAATAATATCTTTAATGTGTGAATGGTCACTGTTTAACACTGTTAAATTTTCAGATTCCTACTAGCTTTTCCATGAAATAGATTTTTCAATTTACACATTCAGCCACTAGTCTTGCAAGGGAGGACACTGTGCCATAGCTGAAGGTGAGGTGCATAGCGGCAGGCCATTTTATTTATTTTTTGTTATCTTTTTATATGTACTTGGCATTTCTGGGTACTAATTTATGCTGACATTTTTATTATTCCCTTTAGGAATGAACAGCATATCAGCCAAGTATAATAAATAGTTTCTTAATTTTTTCTAAAAATTAAAAAAAATTGATGTCATTTATATCATAGCACTCTAGCTTTGATACTTCAATGATCTAGGTAGTACAGTACTACTTTTTATAATCATGGCTCAAGTGTTCTATTTTAAAATTTAAAATATCTCCACATTACAGTGCCCAACTATTTCCCCATTTCTTTTGCAATCGTCTGTTATAGAATAAGATGTCGGAAGAAGGGATTAAGCAGAGGAATTATGTAAAATATAGCATCCTGTACTGGAGTCAGATGTTATGGCTCATGTTTATTTCCTTTTGTCGGGTAAGTTGTTACTCTTCCAGTGCTTAGTTGATGGAATATTAGTTCATTTTTAATTTTTTTCTGATAAAAGATATATTTCTGCATAGAAAACTGAAACCTATGATTTCTGATGGCAGAAACATTTGTTATACTGCCAGTAATAGCAATGATTGTAAATCTTTTTGTCTGCCAGGGTATTCAGTTTCCCAGAAAGGTAGTTAATGAAGGACTGGAAGGAAGATTGTTCAATTACAGTCCATCTCTAACAAAAGAGGCCTAATCTTGGTAGAGGTTTGGTGGCTATTTTATCTTGAAGCATAAACAAAGATTTTCATGAAGAATTGCTGTGGGTGAGAACTTTCAGAAATGGAAATTTTCCATCTGTTGAATAATCTGTTACTGGGCAATTGCTTTTCCAGAGTATTTGTGAATTAATTTGTTTAATCTGCTAAGTACAGCAATAAGCCAACTCTATTTAAACTCAACCAAGCTTACTGTGACAAAGATTTGTGCAGAATAAGTAAGTACTGAATGGTTACAACTCCTTCTGCAGACTTGGTAACTCTCAGAAAAAGAATGTGCAGGGCAAACTGCAAAAATAAACAACTGCATTGTGAATATGATTCTTCCTATATTCTGAAGAAACTTCCAGAAAGGGAATATTGTTATGTTTATAAAAGGTATATGGGGTGAATGTTTTGCTGCACCTCCCCTAAGCAATCTGAAAAAATCTTCTATCAATGCAGCTACCTATTCCAAGTCTTTCTATAGTTGCTATAGAACCATCTTTTATTAGCCTAATGCACATCTAGAGCCATGACAGCCAATATTTTGGAAAGTGGGAAGATTTAAATGTATTGCACGTTGTGTAAAAGAACATACTCTCCTTGGAAAGCCATGACTTAGATTTAAGTATGTTCCTAGTTTCTTTTGCTTCCCATAGTAGCCTGAACCAATATTTTGGAATAAATGGCAATGCTGCAGGGTTAACACATACTCTCTCTTCCCATTCATTTCTTTTCCATAAAGGCTGGATTTTATCTTATTATTACATGTAGCCTTATTTAAACTGGCAAGTTTACCAACTCCCTTTAAGAATATTCTGAAAGTTCCAAAAATTTATTCTGCCTTAAAGGTATTTATCTAGTGATATCTATCTATATATCTAAACTATTCTGATACTGACATAGCTGCTTTTGAGATTATTAATCAAGCGATAGTATAGCAGGCTCTGATGCAAGAACAGCCAATCTCTTCTATGTCCCCAATTACAGACACAGCACTATCATACAGGTAGAAGATACCTTGCAATCTTTGCAATTATTTTGATTATCTATTGACAAGCACAATAACTTTCTACTGTAAGAAAGGTATGTGCACAGTACTGACTACCAAGGAAGAGAATGAATTTTCTCTTTCACTAGGCCTTTTGCCTCATTGCAGCTTTTCTTTAACAGACATTCCTGCACTTTTCCCAAGTGCTACATCAGACCTATTTATGTATTAAATAAGGGGAACTGAATCTGACTTAACACTTGTAAAATCTTGTACACCCTTTTGAAAAATTAAAAATTACTATACTTTTTCAGTACAAACTGAAAAATAAACAGCCGTCTTTCCTAGTCCTGATTGTGTTTCACTGCACTCAAGCGCCTTGCAATATACATTAAAGAAATCCAACAAGGAAAATGTAACGATATTAGTTAACATGTATTCAGTTTACCCAGAAGCAATTGATTTACATGCAAAAGGTACAACCTAGCAAACCTTTCTGTAAATGTCTACTTTTACTGCAAGATTCTTCAAGTAGCAATAATTCACCAATGGTCACTGAAAACCACACAATTGTGGGCATCAACTACTCTTTGTTAAGAGTATTAGCCATGGATTATGAAAGGGCCTCCCTGTTGGAAGCAGTACGATGTTCATGTTTTGTTTTGGTCAGCATAGCCTATGCTGACTCAGGAATTCTGGGAGTTGAAGTCCATGAGTCATAAAAGAGCCGAGGTTGCCTACCCCTGTCCTAGGCTATGCTTATGGTACTTTAATACTTCATACCATATAGAGCAGGAGTGTCCAACTCAATTTCACTGAGGGTCGCATCAGCACTGCGGTTGCCCTTGGGGGGCCAGGTGGGTGTGGCCAGAGTGGGTGCAGCCTACTGGGTGGGCGTGGATGGAGTGGGTGTGGCCTATTGGGTGGGTGTGGCCAGTTCTACATCATTCGCATCAAGGGTGCCTGTGGGGGCCTGGGCAGGAGTGGGACAGATCTGAGGGTCTCTGGCAGAAGGGGGTGGGACCGGGGCAAGTGCCAAGGCATGGTCCACCTGGGCAAGTGCCAAGATGGCCACCACAAAATTGTACATTGGCTCCCGGCTGGCCTGGGCCAGGGCCAAAGCAGCAGGGGCCGTTTCCTCACTGTTTCCAGGATGGCTTCGCGGGCCACATGAAACCACTTCGCGGGCCGCATCTGGCCCCCGGGCCTTGTGTTTGACATGTCTGATATAGAGTGAGCAAATATAGCTTAATCTTTCTTTATAACGAATCTAAGATTATCTAGTTTAAGAGAACTCAAATACTAATTGTGACCAATTATTTTCATTTTCTTTCAGGAAACCTCCACTTTCCTTCCTTATAGCATCACCGTATCTTTTTATAAAGTTACTGATTCTTCTGTACTTCTAATTTTGTGTTTTTTGTTTTTTTGGACCACACACTCTCCTGCTCCCTCATTCCACCTTCTTTCCTTCTGTCAGTTCTAGGTCTTCTATGATACTTTCTTCACTGCTTTTTTTCATGCAACTTTTCCATGTGCTTTTCTCCTCATAAGGTTTATCCCCTTTCCTCCGATCTCAGTTATAGCCTGCTGCTTTTTCTCTCCCCAACTCTTCAGTGAATTAACCAAAAGCTCCTTCTTGCTAAGGCCTTCTCTGCTGCTCAGCGGGAAATATCCTGGTGCTCAGCCTCTTCATCACCATCACTACAGCTCAGCAAATCAGGGTTAGATTTTATCAATGCGGGGGGGGGGGGGACCACCCTCATTAAAAACAAAACTACTGCAATCCAAGGCCTTGGCTGTTATCATATGCTTTGGATCTGAAGCCAAGTTCACTTTATCTTGGTTCTGCTTCGTTAAAACCAACCATTGTTTTTTCTGAAATAAAAGAAATTGAGATGAGAAGCTAAATATTTTGTTTCAAAGACAATTTTTAAATAATTGTGCAGCTGTAACTTAATACAAAGTCCCATCTTTCATTTCTAAATTATCTGTTATCTTGAGTTGCTTTTCATGTTTCCTATGAAAAATACAAATGCTTTCTCAAGATTTGTACTTGCATCCTTTTTTTTTTTAAGTGAATATTTAATACAGGTAGCCCTCGTTTAGTGACCACAATTGGGACTGGCAATTCAGTCATTAAGCCAAATAGTTCCCAAGTGAAAGTGCAACGGTGTTTATGATCTTACTTCAGCTTTCCTTTGCTTTACAGACTTGCAAAGGTAATAAATGTGGGGACTGGTCATGAAGTTATTTTTTTCACCACTGTCTTAACTGCAGATGAGCACTAAACAAAGCAAATGACTAAATGAGGATTAGCTGCCCATGAAACTGTTTTCGAAAGGGCATATATTATTAGTGAAGGAGTTAATGTCTAGAGTTCATCGTCTCCTAGAAATCCCAGTAGATGTTTTAAAGGATTACATGTTTTATTATTAAACTAATATTAAATTAGTTTGTGGCTAAAGCTTAAGATTCAGAAATCTGTAAGAAAAGCTATAACATTTCTGAATCCCTAAAAATCCTATAAAGTTATGGTCCCCATATATTACCAAACAACTCTCAACATCCTTTTCTCTTGGCCAAAATGACTGGGGCTGTCAGGAGTTGCATTCAGCAGCATCTGAAAGGCACTAGGTATCTCAGGTATCACTAGGTCAGGGGTAGGCAACCTTGGCTCTTTTATGACTCGTGGACATGCTGGCTCAGGAATTCTGGAAGTTGAAGTCCACGAGTCATAAAAGAGCCAAGGTTGTCTACCCCTGCCCAAGATTGATTCATCAATATTCCACGTGTTTGTTCCTCAGTTCTTTTGGTACTTGGTTTGGTTTTGGAAAATTACATTGTTTTATACCCCATCCAGTAAGATACAATCTCGTATCTTCAAACCAAGCTCATACCCTTTGCCAGAAATAAGAATTTTGAATAATCAAGCTGCGTTATGATAGAATACTAGCATACTTAGAAGGCTTTTTACTAACCTTTTTTACTAGAACCCTTTTTATTAATTAAATATTAAACAAATTAGTCAAAGAGAAGCAAAATAGCATCTCACTGAATTTTTAGACTTAATCCAACATGGCTTGTCCCCAGTCATTATGGACAAAAGCAGTAATGGGAATTGTGAGCCAAGGTATCTGAACTTATCAGGTTGCCTATTCTTGTTTAAATTATGATTTGAAAGACAGGGAATATTGGCTAAATCCCCAACACACTAAATCCCCAATACACTAAACCATGATTTATTTTTACCATAATGCGATCAAATAATGTGAAGCTATATCATAATTTATAAACCATAATGACACTACATAATTATACTAAGTCAAAATCAAACAAACTACATTATGAATTATTGGAAGGAGGAAATCTGCCCATGATTATATTTAAATCAAGCTTATCTTCTAGCTAAGAGCACTTTAGCTAAAAAGAACAGTAAACTAGCAAAGTCATACTGTTGCTAGATGGGCAACTTTTCAGTTCTGAAAATAGAAATTTGGCATAGAGCCTTCCCAAATGATTTCCACGTTATATAAATAGCATATTTCATTTTATAATAATTTGAACACATTTATAAAATAGAGTTGATGATGAAAATTATGAGATGGAAAAACTGATTTCATTTAATAGTTTTAATAAAACTATTATAATAGCTTTTAAAGTTATGATTTGGGAGTGGGTATATCATATACAATATAGTCATACACATTGCTCCTACCAATTTGCCTAGCTGCCACAAACATCTAGATCCTTAAAATATATTTTTGGAGGGATTATACAGGAACATTGCAAAAGATATGAGAGATATTTTACCAATATCTATACAGGTTACAGGAATCTTTAAAAATATGAAGTATTTAAGTTTCAGCCATGTTGATAATGTAATTCTACTTATCAGTAGAAAACATGAAAAACATTTAAATGTTACATGCTATGTACATGACCAGTCATAAAAGTATGGTGGGACAATACAGAAGTACATTCATTTATCCAAATTGATGGTTTATAATGAAGTTAATTAATAGCCCTAAACTATGCTAGTTATTTTTTTGTGGGGAAATACAATTTTACTACCAAGGACATATTGTGTAATTCCCATTCCAAATGGATATTTAAAAAGGGCTGTTTTATTCTCTATCTATTTGGGGGATTATATTTATTTCACATAACCCAGTATAATTTAACTCTGCAATTAAAGCATTAAAGAAATTGTTTTATCCATCGTTATATGCAAAATAAACTAATGCTTTAGAAACTGAAGGCAGCTGAAGGTTCAGCAGGACTGTTTCAAGGACTTTCCCATGTGTAGACACAGCCATTTTGCTTTGTCTTTTAAGTGAAAAGAGCTGCTTCAATACTTTGTGGAGATACTTTGTCAATGCACTTGGTAAAGCCTGTATAATGTCAAATATTCAGTCTTCATACTGCCCTTTCTATTTTAAGACCACTTTAATTTTTTCTTGCTATTGTATTTTTCAGTTCCACTGAGACTATGGACTCCATGTTTTGTACCAAAATCCAATCATATTTTTAAAAAAACACATTAAAGTCTCAAACAACAGACCACATAGCTCAGTGAACTAAATCTCATAGTTTTGTTTAATAGCAGCCGTTTCAAACATGCCTTTTTGAAACTAAAGGATATGAACTTCATGGAAACTTCTTGAATATATGCGACACGTTTATAATACAGTCAACAATGTTTGTACAAACAAATGTATTAAGGCTTCTGACCAAGTTCACACTGTCCTTTGCTAGATGCAAGCAGGTATAATGACGCATACAGATCAAATTGGCTATTGATGCTAGTTACTGACACATCTAGAAAAACATGCATGAATAGGTATATGTAGGACCAGCTAGCGGTGATTTTAATGATTGGAAAAAAGGATGTTATGACTAAAACAATTATAAGCATGCACTGTATCTTGTATATAGTTTTTTTTTTCCATTTGTGGAACTGAGCAAATATCTCGACAAAGATGGTTCAAGCCGGTCTGTTTGCTAAGCCCTCTCTCAGCCAAAAAGAATTAAAAAAAACCAAAAACTATGGATCTGTTTTACAGATAAATTGAGGTTAAAATTATCTAGGAGCATTGTCCTAAGAATAATTAAGGTACGAATTGCAAATCTACATACCTAGAAGGCATATACTAAACATATTTAATAATTGCTTTTATAAGTGAAATAATATAGGGCTTAGATTGCAGTTCTTACAAATTTCTTTATGGAAAAAGTCAAGAAATTATGTTTCCAATCTTGGACAATCTTTGTCAGAGCAGACTTCAACAATAGCAGAAAAGGAAGTCAAGGGACATAGGCTGTCTTCTGTTAACTTAAGATGGAGTAGTTTCTTCCTACTTCATCTTAAGTTAAGAAAAGGAATTAATAGCACTTCCTATCTACCTGATGCCAAAGGTGAAACTATTAGTGCATAAAAGAAAATAATTGAATGGTATTTTAATAAAAAACATGAAGAAAAAGCTATGTTAACACTAGCAACAATTGTGTATTTTATTAAGGTGAAATAATACCTATGAAGCACTGGTATATTTGCTTCCCATATTTATGAACCTAAATAGTTCATAACCCAATGAACCTAAATGGTTCATAAATAATCTAAATAATCCTTCTGCAAATTTTTCATTTCCTGATAGCTGAATTTATACTATGGAAATTTCTTATAATACGGTAGTAGTCTGTCATAATAGCCTTTAGGTTATGTTATGTTTTAACTGAAGTTTGGGGGAAAGGCTACATTATATGAAGTACAGTCATACACATCGCCTCCTACCAACTTGCTTAGCTGCCACAAAAATCTAGAGCCCTAAAATAATCTTTTTAGGAAGAGAGGAATTATGCAGCAACAGTTTAAAAGATAAGACGGAGTTATTTAACCAATAACTACGTAGGCTGCAGGAATCTTTAAAAATATGTTGAAGTATTTGAGTTTCAGGAATGTTGATTATGTAAATCCAGAGAGAGCAGGACTAAACTATTCTAAAAAAAATACCTGACCTTGATATCATAATTGGTTGTAGTGTAGTGCCTATTCTTCTTGATCACGCCCTTATAATTTGATCTAGTCCTTGTAACAAATCACTGACAGACATGCATGCAGAAGACCATTTTATATTATACTGAAACACACTGTACCAGACCAGTATCAGAAATGTGCTTCTATTACTTTTAAAGTATAAAGTGCATCATTATGAAATCACAAAACTGACAGACTTTCTGTCTGGACCATACAGTTTTAAAAGAGAGGTCAGGGCTTTAACATAAAAATTCTCTTAAGAGAGAAGAAATAATTCAAGAGGTACAAATTGATTATGTCCACCCTGCCCTCCTAGAATTGTTTTTGGCCACGCTTTTTTAGTGCAAATAAGCTAAAGTTTTTTCTCAAGTTTAAGGGATATGGCATTTTTGGGATGCAAAGAATATTTTTTTACATCATAACAGATCCTTCTGCAAGCTTTTAACATGTTATTGCCACTTTCCAAAGAAATGCATGTACTGTCAGATGTAAAGAGAAACTTTTTCCCAAATGACCATTTCAACTATTACCAATATAAATTGGATCATATAATCCTTGGGTTTAAAGATATAAACACATCCAGTTATGTCCAATAATAAGATAAATATGTATATGTATGTATACACACACATGCACACACACACACACACACACTCACGTATATATATATGTGTGTGTGTAATTTTAAGGCTCATGTGTAATCCCTCTCAGATGCTCACATCTGTTTTTAAGTCATTAGTTGATTTGAAAAACATGGCAATCTGTGCCTATATACAGAAGAAAACAAGAATTTAGTGGCACAAGAATACACAAATTTGGGATGGGGAAGACAGCAATATAAGCAGGAACTGCTGATTATCTGGCTCAATACAAAAACAAGATAAAGTAGTGCAAACTTGTACAGGCCAGTGTATTAACTAATACACATTTTTACTGTAGTGGTAAATAACCCTTTATCTATTTGCTAAACAAAAAGATGCAGAAGAAATGCATTTCTGAAACACCAAACATAGAACATGAATATGTTTGTTTCTATTAAATTTGATAAGGTAAAGTTTCCATAAAAATATTTCAATTGATAATTAAAAAAAAACCTGTTACATATGATGAAATAGGGAAAATAGAAGGGCAAGAGATGGGAAAATGTGAGCATCAGGAATTCATACATTCATGGATTCTATGTTGTATAACTGGATGTCACTATTACTACAGGTATTGGGATGTGCATCAGCAAATCAGAAGAATGATAATTTAGGCTTAGATAATTTACTACAAGTCTGTTATCAAATCAACAATAGCACATTAGACCTCTAATTTTCCTCCTTAGAACATATACTTTCATGCCAGTATTTACTTAGAATCTTTCATGACTTGCTCTGGCCCATAGACCATTAGTAATTGAAAAATTAAAACTAGATTTGAGTTTGAAGTTAAACATTATTAGTTATTTCTGAAACAGCCAAACACTCATTAGATCAAATTTCTAAAACAGTGATATTAATTTTCTTTTTCTTTGTCACAATTAGAGCACACATTTCTAATGTTCCTTTGATGATTTTGGTGCAATCTTTTTTTTCTTTCTAAATAAAAGTATTAGGGCAACTTTTCACACCAAATTAAATGCAAGGCTATGATCTCCACTTTCACTAATAATCTTTGAGAAAGGAGGTCACAGCATAATTTTAAAATGGTGCTGAAATGGAAATACCAAGAAGAATACAACTGAAACTAGAAAACCACGCTCCTTAGCTAGCAGGATATGAAAAAGAAATGAATATTGAGCCTGAATCAACCAATGCAGTTCTTTTAAAGAAAAAGTATTAGGTTTCAACATAGAAATAGCTACACAGTTATCAAGGTCAAAAGCAAAAGCTTTGGCACTCTGAACTCCAATTGAAAATGTGATTTACAGCACAATTCTTGCCATGTTGATGCAATATTATACTACATTTCACTGTATTCAGTTGCTTATATTCCCATTTAAATATAGATAATTGAAGTCTTAAATTATGCCAAACAAAATGTATATTACATTTCTGTTTCACGATAAATCTCCTATTATCACATGTTTCTCCAGTCATTATCTTGGTTTTTTTAAAACATGGGTTAATGTTTGGCAAAATAAAAATACAATTATAATTTGGAATAAATATGTAAGAGCCAAAATTTCAAAATAAGATCGATAGCTATTACTGAATATTTCAATTGCACCAATGTGAAATCTGATCTGCGGGATACCAACTAACTGATGCACCAAAATCTCTCAAAGTGTTTTTTTAAGTTAAATCAGAAATTATTCTAATGTTTTTCACACTGTAGACATTTAATCTTCCTGTTTAGAATTTTAATTCCAACCATTGTTCATCTACCAAATTCCCACATCACAGTAACTTGCTAGAACCACTTAACCCCACAAATATAAAAATAGTTTTGAAATTTGTACTATTTAAATAAGCTCTCCTCACAAGATGTCAACAGTCCATTTAGAAGGGATGACATGATCAACATTAAACATAGATATATCTTTTGGAGGGGATCACTTAAATTACTGGATTATCCTACAATTAGGTACCCATGAAATTAATCACTGGCCAATTCTTCCTCCCTTAAAAATACTTTTATCGTAACATAACAAACAGATTTACTTAGTTAAATATACCTTTCCCAGTATAATCATTTAAAATTTAAAGGTCAGTTTTGGTCAAAAATGCTCTTGGTTACTATTACAACACATCAATTCCATCTGGCTTATTTGCATCATGTTACACTGCAACACAAACCTTATACATATTCTTTAAAGATTACAACAGAGTTAGTGGTATTATACATATTTGATAAACTTGTGAGGTTAAGAATCAGAATCACAGGGTAATTAATTGTTCCTATGAGAAACCAGAGAAGTTGCTGGGTGTAATTTAACATGAAAACCAGACCCACATATTGGAATTATCTAATAACAGGGAAGAACTTACAAAAAGAAAGGCAACTTCTTCCAGCCATTACATATCAGTACCTCCTGGCATTTCTCTGCTTTGATTCTTGGCCCATTGAAAAACATTCTAATCAAGACCCTCTTGTTCTTCTCCACTGTCCCCTCTGATATCCATTCTTTTCTCTTTATGGCCGTTGTAAATTCTCCTCATTTCCTCTTCATACTTGATAAAGTTTTCCCCAAATCTTGTCCATGCTTTGTATGGGACAGTTATGGTGTTACGGTATGGAGGCCTCACTTCACTTACCTTCAAAAAAATACCATACCTGTTAGATCCCACATCAAAGTAGAACCTTTTGTTGTCCACCCTGAAGGAAGTCCCCTCTGGCAGTTCAGGAGGATCATCCCCTCCACTCCTCCTTTCTTCTATATCTCCTTCCCCATATTCTTCAATAAGTTGGACCAAAGCATCCCTGAATTCAATCATTCCCTGTGCTGGAAGGACAATAGTCTGTTCCTGCCCCAAACTGTGACCAAAATATCCTATCATGCCAGGTCCTCTAATCAAGGTTTGTCTAATCCTTAAGAAACGTCCACGTTGATTTTCCTTTAGGTCTAGGTAATATTTCCTGTTATCTCTTTCAATATATTCAGTTTTTAAGACGCTGTGAAGATGTTCCTCAGATCCCACTGAAGCTGGAGGTGAGGGTAGCTGATGGTGTTGCCGCCTTCTTGGATCTTGTTCTTTGCCATTAGCATGGTCATTCCTGTGACTCTGGCTGCTTTTCAAGCCCAAATGGGCATAGTGTTCTATGAAATCACCCAGGCAATCTTTCAGCTCAGAAGCCACTGATAAAGATAGAGTCAGCTTGCTTTTTCTGATATTGTCCTGCCTGCCTCTTCCTATCCAGACTTCAGCTATCTTCAGAAAACGACCTCGGGAACTTTGCTTCACATCCAGATAAAATCTCTTTTTTTGGATGTCCACTCTTTTGGATGCCAGCTCCTGGATTTCCATGCAGCCCGCCTGAGAAGAGGAGGCAGGATAATGATACTGCTGCTGGGATTGGGAGTAAATGCTCCTGTGTAGGCCAGAGCCCCCCACACTCCTTCCTCCTCCTCCTCCTCTGCCTCTCTCCATCTTTAACCATCAACTGAAAATAACAAATATATAACAAAGATGCATAACACCATAGACATCCAGGAGATCCATTTTGCTTTCCCGGCAATGGCTCTCTGTGCATAATTAATTTCCCTAGAAAGTTATTTCACTAACACTTTCTAGTTTCTTAGCCTGGTACATAGAAATGGGGGGGGGGGGGGAGGAAGAGGAACGGGGAGGAGTTCTTGTAGAAAATCATGTGCTGAATTGCTGAATGTCTGGCATACGTTAAAGGCACAGAATACATTTTTAAAAGAAACAGGCTTTGCCTTTTCCCACCCTTACTAACCCTGCTCCTGGGTACCCCAAATATAATACCAGCAATATTAAACCGTTGTCAGGGAAAGCTTCTCCTGCCAGGAAAACACAGCTCGAGTATAGGCGACTTATTTCACCAGGTAATGTTTAACACGTCCGTATCCTGCATTACAGTATCAATCCTGTGCCTGGGGATTCGCTTGACAAGCCCCGATTCCACGTTGGAAGCCTTTTCTCAGTCAGTTGCTGAACGTCAGGCTTTCTGCTGGAGCCCAAGCTGCCTTTCGCGGGCGTTACATGCCCTCGCGTGGAAGTGTGAGAGGGGAAAAGAGGCAAGACCTGTCAGAGAAACAGGACAGCACCGACCTTTTCCAAACGGGCCTTCGCGCCACCACAAAGCCTGATCGGGTCAAAAGACCTCTCGCCTTACTCCTGCCGTGAAGAGCATCTCCTGCCCCATTAAACTGACAGCCTAATTCTAAGGGGAGTCCTCCCGTTCTCCACCCATGGCTCCCCCCCTCCCCCCGCACCCTATGATCGCCCGTACAAATTGCAGCGACGGCCCCTCCAGGCGCCATGACACGCAATTGAGCCGGGGCGGGGGGGGGGGAGTTAGCCAGAAGGAAACAAAACAAAACAAAACCCCACAGCGGAGGGCGGTCGACACTTACTCCATTCCTTCCACTGTCTTTCGCCGACTTGCTTCTCAACCAGCCGCGGCCGCTCTCCGCCCTGGCCCCTGCAGCGCTCGCCTTCCCCGCGCGGCCGCCTCCGAGAGAGGGATGAGCGCTCCGCGATCGGGCGGGTCCTATTGCCGCCCGCTTCTTCGCCCTCCTCCGAGGCGCTGGTTCATGTTCGACGCGCGTCAGCCAACCTCAACCGCCCCACCCGCAAGAGAACGAGAAAAAACAGCGTGCCGCGCGGGCTGAGAACAGGAATCCCTTTCTCCCTCCAACTTTGAAGCGACCCGTCTCCCCCCACCTTTCTTCCAAAAATTATAAACTACATCCCCCAGAATGTCCTGCGTTGCCGGCAACTGGCGGGCGCGGAAGCTTTTCTGCGCATGCACTTCACCTCATTTCACCTTCTACAGTTGACAGCAGCCGGAAAGAAAGGCGGGGGGGAGGAGTATGGCGGCTCGTGACGTATTTTCATTGCGACGATAAGTGTTGACTGTGGGTGATGATTTTCTCGTGCGTCTGGCGGGAAAGCGATTGAGAGAGAACTTTTTTCTTGGGGTACTGGGCAGTGGGAGAATTTCGGGGTGAGGTGAGTTTCTTTTACTTCCAGCGCCACTATTAGGATAGTTAGCTTTTGTTTAAACGCTTATATTTGCACGTGAAATTATCTGGCATCACTAGCCATCCATACTCACGTTACATATTCTAAAGTAGCACTTGTTTGTCATTTTCAATGTATTTGTTCAACCAAAAGCAAGAGAAGAAGCTCTTCTGAACAGATTTGTTTTCTTTTTCCTTAGCCACGCTGGCCTAGAAACCAGGAGAATGAGTTCTAGCTTGGCCTTAAATATGAAAGCTGGCTGAATGACTTTGGGCCAGTCACTCCCTCTCTGCCCAACCCACCTCACAGGGTTGTTGTTGTGGGGAAAATAGGAGGAAGGAGTATTTGGTAAATTTGCTGCCTTTAGTTATATATAAAAAAGGCAGGATAAAAATATAATAATAGCAACCAGAACACTCTTTTTTTCCTCAAAGTAGACCAATTTATACCATACCCAGTATTCTGGATGACAGGTCAATAGGTGATTGACCTACTATATATAGCTGCATTCTTTACTTTCTTATCCTTTCCTATTTTTCTCATTCTTGCTTATCGGAAGTGAAAGAGAATATTCAAATAGACGTCCTTCTGCCGAAAATGAATTTACAGTTAGAATAGGATAGAGTAGAGTAGAATAGAGACTGGAATGGACCTTGGAAGTCTTCTAGTCCAGCCCCCTGCTCGAGCAGGAGAACAGGTGGACGTCCAGTCTCTTAAAAATTTCCAGTGTGATGGAGCGGCCATGATTTCTGGGGGTAAGAAAACATGAACGAATTTACAATAAGAAAAATGATTACGAATGGTATATTTTAGCATTTAAGGTATTTTTATTGTTCCAAGAAAGGTAATAAAAATGTCTCTTGTTCCAGATCATGTGCATTTGCAGAGGAATAAATTGATAAAACATGGATTCTCCACCAAATAAACTTCCCCTATGGATGACAGAACCAAACAGAGAAGATACTGTGGATGACAAAAAGGTAGAAAATTAGAATATAAGCTCGGCTCTTATAATAATTTAAAGCATGGGAAATGATAACTCCTCTGGGCAAATTTCCAGTTTGCATGGACATTTTCAGAACTACTAGTTTGGCTCTTTGCAGTTCTGTTTTTAGCTTGATGACATTAAACAGGAATACTTTGAGTTGTAGGAATATCCAAGAGGCCACTTATAATTGGGTTACTGATTTTTGCAGGGACGTTTCAATCATTATGTTTTCAGACTGATTTTTAAATTGTCCTTATGGGGGTATTTGCTCTAGTAATTTCTTTTTTAGCTAAGATAGATTTTATTAGCAATATTTTTACAGTGTCCTTCACTTTCTGATAAATTGAGAACTTGTCTTGGTAGAATGTGTGTGGATCCATTCTATTTGTTAATCTCCTAATCTATACAAGCAACATTCAAAAGACTAATATGCTTTAAAAATAGAATTGTACCCTTTTCATATTAAAATTACTCTCTTATCAACTCTCACTTGGCTACCATTAACTTAACAATCAAGTTGATATTTTCTACTAAGTTGGAAAGGACTAATATGTTGCATGCTAATATTAGCAACCCATTATATATTCTTCAAATTATAAACCAAGTTGTCTTTCACATTTTTATGAAACAGAAAAAGTCATTCCAACCGAGTGTCCTGGAAGATAAGCTTCCATTCTTAGAATACAACGGCTCTATCATCTACAGCTATAATAATAATGATTGTTCCTTGCTCTCAGAAGACATTCTGTAAGATAATGAAAACTTTCATCTTTCCTTTTTTAGTGTAATCTTTTGAAGTAATATATATAGCAGCTTTTTTATATGTATGTTTTCATTTGATTATTTGAATATTTCATTATTCATAGTAATTCATAGCATTTTTATAGCAATTGGTCCATTTATATTTACATTTATGTTCTCGGGGTTATCTACAACCAGGTTTATATTAGGTGATTGGAAGAAGAAATTAACTGTAACTTGTCAACAAGATGGGGTCAACAGCAAATTGTTGACCATGCCCAGGCCAGACAAAAATGTAGAGCTATAAGTACAATTTGTTAAGTAAAAATAAGCTGTGATTTTGATTATTATTATTTATTAAATACATTTATATGGCTGTCTATCTTATGTTGATTCTGGGCAGCTTATAAAATTTAAAATCCACAGTCAAAAGCCCATAAACCCCCAGCCCATACCCCCTGGCAGTAACATGATCCCACTAGATGTATTTCTCTAGAGTATATGGGACCAATAACACACCCTGCTTTCCCGCTCTGATGGCAGATGTAACTGGGGAGGGCAGACCTTCAAATATTTGTTGCTGAGGTTGTACTGATCTCTGAATGACATGCTAAACCTAATCACAAAGTGATTTAGTGTAGCAATATCAAGCAATAGCATTTAGATTTATATACCTCCCCATAGTGCTTTACAGCATTCTCTGGGCGGTTTACAATGTCAGCATATCACCCTCAACAATCTGGGTCTTCCTCATATTGGCAAATACAGTTTGGAGACATTTTTTTATTTAAAAATTATATATTTAATCAGCAACCAAGAGTTCATTAGATCAAATTGTTAAATTAATCTTAGTGCCCCAAATTATGCAGGTTTATTTAAAAGCAAATCACATTGTCTATATTCATATATAATATGTCAGGACCTGTTTGTTTTAAAAAATCTTTACAACTTGCAGAGTCTTGGTTAAATTTAGTAGATGGGTTTTTCTTAAATGTGGTTGTAAGGTCTCCATTCTGACTTGTGTCATATTCCATATGACCCAGGCCAAAATACCATATCAGGATTGTTTTGTTTACTTATACTTTATTTGAAGCTGATTTTCATACTTTAAACTATATTTTAGCATCAAACTACAATTTGAAGCCATAGTTGGATATTAGTTTATATATTTTGTCTTATTTTCACCAGGGCTTATTGCCTCCTAATATGTAATTCTAGTTCATTCCTAGTTTGTATTTATATACCACTCTATAGTGTGGAAATCTAAAGCAGTTTTTTAAAAAAATCCCCAAAGACTGCTTTTTTGCTTTTTCCAGAAATTCTTAATTCTTTTCAACTACGATTTTCTTTCTGTACCTAACTTTTCCCTGAATATAAAGCAGAGGTAACTAAATACATAGAAGAAATTCCAAATCTCATACCCCTCCTGACAGCAAATTTTAATTTAATAAAAGAGATTAAAATAAATGAGAAGAGATGGCCAAAGAAATATATTCAGACATATATGTCACTTCCTGCATAAAAATCGTAACAGTCTCCCCAAATCTCACAAACATATAGGCCAGGCGTGTTCAACTTTTCAGCTTGCCTGGGCCATAGTGAGTGAAGAGGAATTATCTTGGGCTGCATATAAAAGATATAGTTTGTGTATGTATGCATGCGTGTATAAATAATGTTAAAAATTTACAATCTTGTGAAACCATGTTACTAGCTGTGTAGGGCTCCGTGTGGTCTGTGGGCTGCAGGTTGGACACACCTGATATAGGCTAAATATAAACCACAAACAGATTGGGTTGTCTTCACATTTTATTTTCACATACAACCATATCTCCTATCCCAATTCACCACATCAAAAAACCCAGTATAAAAACAGGTAAAACAAAAAGTGCTATGATTTTTGCTTCAGAAAGATATATCACCCCACAGAATATCTACAGCCCACTGACACTATTGAAAATGTACCCTACATACCGATACATACATACATAAAATTTTGGTATTGCTATCTGAGTGTTGGCAAAATAAATGAATGGGGGAAGTTACCCTAACACGTGTTGAAAAAAACATGACTAATTTGCTTGCATGTAAGGGTTAAGCTCTAATTGAATTTCATTTTATTCTTTATGATGAAAACAATAGCTAGAGTGCCATGGCTCATTTATAACAGTAAATCGTTATAGGTTGATTTACACATTCTAAAATATGGTATATGGATGGGTACTTGCAGTACTTGGGAATTAAAACTCATCTACTGCGCTTCCCCAGAGAAGCTTTTGGAATTTCTCATGCATTTGCAATGGTCAGCTACTTTTTAGTTTAAATATTTACATAAATTTATATTACATAACCTTGAAGATCATTAAAAAGTGCATAGAGGAACAGACTTTACAAATCACTGAGTTAAACAAAAATATTGCTTTTTTGACTATAAGATTTCTATTTTAGATTTTTGTTTTATAATCACTAGAGCTGTACCTTTCTACTTATTGCTCTTTATCTAATAATTTGTGATGCATTCTGGGGGGCTATACATGTAAAAATTATTATTTACAAATGGGATTCCAGTCTTAGTCACATTTATTTTCCTTTCCCTTGTTTTACTCTCTAGTCCTTCTTTTCCTTATTTGTCTTAATCTTGATTATTTCATCAGTATTAATTGAAAGTGATAATGTAATTTTAAATAATAGTGGGAGAAAAGAAAGGAAGAGAGAACATGATTATTCAAAAGGAGAGAAAGGAAGAAAATGCATGTTCTTTAATTTAGTTTCTCATTTGACAATGATGGTTTGTAAGAAGCCATTGTTCTGTATTATTGTTTTGTATTAATATATCACTATGCCTCAGATACAATTATGTCTTGCAGCATTACCTTGCCTGTTGGAGCTGTGTTAGGATTTGACATTGAATGGCCAGCCGTTTATGCTAAAGAGAAGGAAGGAAAAGTTGCCTTAGTCCAGTTATGCGAATCTGAAACCAAGTGCTACTTATTTCATATC